CTAAATGTTAACAAAGGGTAGAAAATCCTATTTTTCCAAAGATTATATAATTTAAACAACATATACTGGCAGACAAAATCAATATTTATTTTTCAATTTTGTAAGAATAAAAATTTGAGAATCTTTTTGTGATTTCATAATTAAAAATAAATTTAGTCATACAAAAATGAAACATAAATTTTCCCAATTTAAAATGCTGGAAAGAGGCTCCAGTTCGTAGGCGGTGTCTGATGTTTGATTTTTCCACAAAAAATGTCAAATTTTGAGCAGAAAAGAGTTCCAAGTCTTCATATTTAATGAAGAATGATTGCGACTTCAAGATTTGTGATTTGAAAAAAATTATAGTCATAGAAAATAAAAGTTTGTGATTCAAATTTAAAAAGGGGGTTCAATTTTCGTGTGCTGTGTCTGCTGGTTGATTTTTCAACAACAAAATATGTATGGTACTGCTACTCCGAAAATTATTTTAATCATTGAACAGCTTGTAATATACAATTTTTCTGAGGAGTTTCAAGTTTTCAATTTAATGAAGAATGGAACAAGTTGTTCACCAAATTATATTATTCTTAGTCCTGAGTCTGTCCCATTCACAAGTTGCAAGGAATTTGGAAGTCAACTAAAATACGCCGTTCCTTAACGTACACTATCAGTTTTCTTTTATATTCAATATTTTCTGAATAAGTGTAATAGATTTGATAATATTTAACTCTCTTTTTTTCTCAAGTGGGACTAAAAAATGGTTTGGAAAAAACATGAACTCCGTGTGAGCAAGTATCATATGTCCTTCTTTAATCCTGATGAGACAAGAAATAAGAAAAGAGGATGTTAACAAAATAGAAAATAATAAATAGAAAATGACTTATCATTATCAACGAAGCCACAAAACAAAAAAGAACCTCGTCTTGTAAAAAATAAATCCAGAGTGCGGATGGCTGACACGTGTTGACGTAACGAACCCACTAGCCTATACACGTGTTACATCTCTGACATTGACTCCAGACAGTCTCTCAGTATTCGCCACGTATCACGTATTACAAAAAAACGCCATACGTGCGAACACGTCATAATGGTAACTCTAACGGCTGGTAACGGCAACTAACGCCGAGTATGAACATTCCGTCTTCTTCTCCGACTACTACGATAATTACTCCACCGGTCATCTCTCTGACCGTAGTTATGAACAAAAATTTAATTCTTTTCTTCACAAACCAACACATCGTTTAAAAAAACCCAAACTTTAATCCCAATTTCTTAATTTTCCATTTTCTAACGTGTAATTTTGTCTTTTCGTCGTCATCGTCCTCGTATGTATGGCGTGTATTCGAATTTCTAAATCACCGTCAGTGATAGATGAGCCTAGAGTCTTTGTGTTCACGACATGCCCAGCAATGAGATTCCACTGATCGATGATTAAATCTTCTAGCAAAATCCGTGGGAGGTAGACAATACCGAGATTGCAGATATCTTCCGTACGCCGGCGAAGGCGAGTTCGGCGGGGAAGGCGTGACGGAGAACGTCGAGTTCGGAGATCGATCTCCGCTAGAGGACGACGGAGATTCGTGTCTATGCGACCTCGGAGGAGAAAGAACGGCTCGGATCTTGGCTCCGGAGACGCGATCGTACTCCTCGACGATGATCGCTAGATCCTCCTCTGATTTGACGGAGATTAGAGTCTCCAGATCGCCGTTGGGTAATTGACATCTCAGATCAACGGAGTATCCGCAGAACTCAAACAGTTTCTTCATCAGCTCTGGAGAAAGCATTAATTAAAAATCAATCTCGATTTCGATTCGAGCAGGGGAAAGTGATTTTAACACAAATTGAAGTGATGTAAACGAAACTGGAGACGAACCTTGGAAAGAGAGAGAACGATCGACGGAGAGGACTCTGGTATGACCTCCGACGTAACGGAGCTTTCCGTCGGTATAACGAGGGAGGATTCTGCCGCCGTAACTGCATAGAAACTTGAGACTGCTTCCACTGCTCTTCTCGTTATAATCAACCGCCACCATTGTTAGCGTTTCTCTATTTTTTTTTTTGTATTTTTGTATTTTTTTTCTGGGAGAAAAGAGGAATTCGTTTTTTATTGAGTGTTTGTTTTTGGTTTCTCGTTGTCTTAAACCGAGAAGAAAGGTTGCAGATGGAGTGGTTTTATAGGCAGGAAGTGACGTCACGGCGGGACCTTACGCGTATGGGGATGGAAAAATTCGTTGGACTTTCTATGGGCATTTAGACTATTCTGTTATTCCCATAACGGAATATCCTTCTAAAAATTATTTCATTATGAAGTCGGGTGTATTTATTTTGTCTCAAAAAGTAATTTAAAGTAGCTGCTCATCATGTGTTTCAAAAAAAAAAAAAAGTAGCTCATCATAAGAAATTAAGAGATGTTGACCATGAAAGAAAACTAATTTTTCCGTTCAGAACTTATTTTGTTTCTCTTTTGCTGCTGAAACTTTACTGTATGTTTAATAGTCTATGTAATTTAGTTACATGTAATGTCAGTAATACGATTTTTCGAAAGAAATCATATATGGTATACTGCTTAGATATGCATGATATTTTTATGTATTTGCGTTGGTGGTACGTCTCAAAAACTCCATGGTAAGTTAAGACTTTCCAAAATTTAAATTCGTACTGTGTGCAATGATTGACTTTAGACTGCAGAATTCCGAACTACACTGTAGCTCCAAACCTCCTCAGTCCTCACTATCACACTTGCTTGCTTCGGTCCAGCTCTAGCCCATTAATGAATTGGAAAAGTCAGGGCCCATCTCTTATGCCCATAAAAAAAATTAAACTCGCGCGTAAAAAGAAAAGAAAAAAAAACCACGGTCAAAATTAGGGTTTCTAATTTGGGAATTTTTACTGTCTAGGAACGAATCGTAAAAAGTATCTGCTTTCGTTACTTTGCGGCTCGTTGTCCTTTCGTCTCTCTGCACTCTTCTCTCTTTGCATCAATTCGATTCTAAACTACGCCTTACAATTGAAGCGAGAGACATACACACACATACACACACAAACAAAAAAAAAACCCTAACAATCTCTGAAGTTACGATGAGCTCCTATGATCGTCGATTTGCTGATCCGAATTCGTATCGCCAACGCTCTGGGTAAGTTAATAGCGATCGACCCTTTTCTTCAATTTGTTATCTTCGATCTCTAACCCTTTTGCTTTCTCCTTAGCGCCCCAGTTGGTTCGTCTCAGCCGATGGATCCTTCTGCCGCACCGTACAATCCACGGTACGGCGGTGGTGGAGGTGGTGGATATGGACCGTCCCCTGTAGTGGCAGGTGATGGTTCCGGCTATGGTCGTTACCCAGCTTTCCACCCACCTACTAGTGGTTTCTCCGTTGGTCGCGGCGGCGGTGGCGGAAGAGGCGCATACGGTCAATACGGGGATAGAAGGGGTGGATACGGCGGCGGAGGCGGCGGGAATTGGGGAGGACGAGGTGGATCGAGTAAAAGGGAGCTAGATAGCGTTTCTCTTCCGAAGCAGAATTTTGGGAATCTTGTCCATTTCGAGAAGAATTTCTACGTGGAGAGTCCTGCTGTGCAGGCGATGACAGAGCAGGATGTTGCCATGTACAGAACAGGGAGGGATATATCCGTTGAAGGGCGTGATGTTCCTAAGCCGATTAAGATGTTCGAAGATGCTAACTTTCCAGGTATTAATTGCATTTCTCAAGTGTTTTTTTGTTTTCATCGTGATTGGGGATATGATTTAGATGTCATCTGTTCTGCTGAAGTAGATTTCGATGTTCTTGTTGCTGAGTGCAAGTATGCTTTGTTCAATGTTCCACGGACTCTGGAAGGGATGTTTGCTTCTTGTGTTAAATTTGTTTCCTGGTTCAATGTTTTGATTTCATAGACTTTTTTTTATTTGTTATATTTTTGTTAGATAATATTCTCGAAGCAATTGCTAAACTGGGATTTACTGAGCCCACGCCAATACAAGCTCAGGGATGGCCGATGGCTTTGAAGGGTAGGGATTTGATTGGTATTGCTGAGACTGGCTCTGGTAAAACACTGGCTTACTTGTTACCTGCGTTGGTTCACGTAAGTGCGCAACCTCGATTGGGTGAGTATTTTATAATAATAGTTGGATTTTAGCTGCATTTTTTTCTGGGAACATGATTACTTATGTGTGTATCTTTGGCTTTTTTAAGGTCAAGATGATGGACCCATCGTGTTAATATTAGCTCCGACCAGAGAATTAGCAGTTCAGATTCAAGAGGAATCAAGAAAATTCGGGCTGCGCTCTGGTGTTAGAAGTACTTGTATCTATGGTGGTGCTCCTAAAGGACCTCAGATTCGCGATCTTAGAAGAGGTTCATTTTTTCTCATTGCAATATCGTAGCCTTTCATATCTGGTTCTTGGATGGAATATAGAAACCTTTCGAATCTCTATTTGCCTTGTCAGGTGTTGAGATTGTGATTGCTACACCTGGTCGTTTGATTGATATGTTGGAGTGCCAACACACTAATTTGAAGAGAGTGACTTACCTTGTGTTGGATGAGGCTGACAGAATGTTAGACATGGGATTTGAACCTCAAATTAGAAAGATTGTATCTCAGGTATGCTTTTCCCTCCTAGAAAGCTATCATGTATACAGTAGTTTCATTAAGGAGAGGGTGGTCGACCAATGGGATTCAGTCGAAACATTTTTTCTCTACCTGAGTATTCGTATTTTGCTACTCAAACATTACGGCTTTAATTTAGATTTTCCTTTTCCTTTCACAGATCCGACCTGATAGACAGACACTGCTCTGGAGTGCAACATGGCCACGAGAGGTTGAATCTCTTGCCAGGCAGTTTCTACGAGATCCATACAAGGTCTACTTAATATATTCTTTAACTTGTTCAGATTGAGTATACTGTCATTGATTAAGTTGAGGCTAGTCATGTTTGTGCACTGAAAACAATTGTTATTTCATAGGCCATTATTGGATCAGCAGATCTAAAAGCTAACCAGTCTATTAACCAAGTAATCGAGATTGTACCGACGCCAGAGAAATACAACAGGTTCTTAATTTTTCTGTAATTGGAGAAGAAACAATATAGAAAATATTGAATAGCTTTCTGTGCCATTTTTTCTCTGATATGATGCTTATCCTTTTTTTTTCCCTCTCTCTTTTGATAGGCTCCTTACACTGCTTAAACAGTTGATGGATGGAAGTAAAATCTTAATATTTGTGGAGACAAAGAGAGGGTGTGATCAAGTGACTAGACAATTAAGAATGGATGGATGGCCAGCTCTTGCCATACACGGTGACAAAAACCAAGCGGAAAGAGATCGAGTCTTGTCAGAATTTAAGAGCGGAAGAAGCCCGATAATGACTGCCACTGACGTAGCAGCAAGGGGACTTGGTAGGATTCCCTGTTACACAATAGGAGAGGATTAGATTAGACCATTTCGTTTTCTGGGGAATAAAAGTTATAACAAAAGTCGCCTGGCTGCTGCTTTCCATGGTTTCCTCTGGAATTAGGAAAAAAAAAAAGGAGCTTTGAAGAATTTGCTTCCCTTAGCCATCTCCCGGGCATGGAGCTGATTGGTTTATGAGCAGCCTGGGCGACTCACCTGCTTGCATTAATAGTGTTTTAACGCCGTCACACACACTCCTTATCCCTGCAAGTTAAGGTGGGCACATTTACTTGGGAAAATGTGTTGCTCTTAGTTTCTTGATCTTTTTAGATCTGCAGTTGTAGGGATAAGGGGTTTTTGTTCTCTCTCCTCTCCTCTAGGCTCTAAAAACACCAAAATTCATACACACAGCAGCTTCTTTTTGTTCTTCTTCCTGCATTTGTTATCATATCAGTCTTCTTTTGCTTAACTTCTCAACTGTGCTTTCTTCTTTCTCCATTTGTTTTGTTGGTTTGCAGATGTGAAGGACATAAAGTGTGTGGTTAACTATGATTTCCCGACTTCATTGGAGGATTACATCCATAGGATTGGTCGAACTGGGCGTGCAGGGGCTAAAGGAATGGCCTTTACATTCTTTACACATGACAACGCCAAGTTTGCAAGAGAGCTTATCAAGATCCTTCAAGAAGCTGGTCAAGTTGTACCCCCCACTCTCTCTGCACTAGTCAGATCTTCTGGTTCTGGTTTTGGAGGTGAGAAATCTCTATCCTCTTTCCTCATTTTGAGTTCATCGTAACCATAATCTTGCCATTTAGTTTAAATGATTATGATTCCATTTTTGTTGACTTGTTCAGGTTCTGGTGGTGGCCGAAATTTCCGGTCAAGAGGAGGAGGACGTGGTGGGTTTGGGGATAAACGATCAAGATCGACTTCAAACTTTGTCCCTCCTGGTGGAAAAAGGACTTGGTAGAGAATAGAAGAAAGTTAAGTTATGATGATATTTGATACTTAACCGTGTTTATTTTCGTTTTCGTGCTAGAGAACAAATGTTTTATTTAATTATTTGATTTTTCTTCTTCTTCATGAGATTATTTATTTTCTTTTTCATAATTCTCTAAACTTATAAAATTTACTGTTTAAACTTCATTTTATCCGTCTTAAAACTTCTTTTGATAGAAGATTATTTAACGTTAAAATTGTTAACCAAAACAATTTATGATATAAACTAATTTAATAAATATTTGGATCAGAGTTTATTTTCCCTTCATGAATTATACATAAAACAGGTTTCAAAAAAAAAAAAAAAATGAATTATACATAAATATAAGTATCCAAATTGGTCAATTAAAACAAAACTATTCAATAGTCCAACATTTAATGGCATGCTCTAAACATGGTTCATACTTGATGTTACATAATTACTACTTATTCTGTTCCTAAAAGAATAATTTTACAAGATTTTTTACCCTATGGTTTAATCTTGGCTTTAAGAAATCGGCGAGAGGATATCCGGTGCTAATCCAAAGTATTTATATATATATATGGGTTAACGTAATAATAATTGTTTATATTAAAACACCAAACCTCACAATTTTTTCCAGTCTTCGGAGTCTCCGGGCAAAGAGAAAGATAGAGAGATTGTGAGTGAGAGAGAAAGGGTATGGAGACAGACGAAAGCGGCGTGTCTTTGCCGTCGGGACCCGATGGTCGGAAGCGGCGAGTCAGTTACTTCTACGAGCCGACGATCGGAGACTACTACTACGGTCAAGGACATCCGATGAAACCTCACCGGATCCGTATGGCTCATAGTCTAATCGTCCATTATCACCTCCACCGTCGCCTCGAAATCAGCCGTCCTAACCTCGCCGACGCCGCCGATATTGGTCGGTTTCATTCGCCGGAGTACGTTGATTTTCTCGCTTCCGTTTCACCGGAATCCGTGGGCGATCCTTCGTCAGCACGAAACCTAAGGAGATTCAATGTCGGCGAGGATTGTCCTGTCTTCGACGGACTTTTCGACTTTTGCCGTGCGTCCGCCGGAGGTTCCATTGGCGCTGCCGTCAAATTAAACCGGCAGGACGCGGATATCGCTATCAATTGGGGCGGTGGGCTTCACCATGCCAAGAAAAGCGAAGCCTCTGGGTTTGCTACGTAAACGACATCGTGCTAGGGATTCTCGAGTTGCTCAAGATGTTTAGGGTAAATGCTCGATTCCCTGCTTATCTCACAACTCGTATCATTTTAGGGTTTAAGGTTATCTTATTGAGTAGTTTTCGTAAATGCGCCTGGAAATCTTTAACTCTTTCATGTACCGGAAATTGCAAATTAGAATCTCGCATTATCATGTAGGTCAAGTGCATCAGTTGTTTCTGAGAAAATGCAGCTGCAAGTTATTATAGTCTTTTAACTCCTTTCAGTGTTTCCATGGCGAAAGGATAATTGTTTGTTTGAGAAATTGGGCAGACAATATACTATATTGCAACTTGTTTTGTTTTCATCATCTGATTCTCTCCAAGTTTCTTCCTTACGTTTCATTAAATTGGGATTAGTGTTTCTTTGTTATTGTATCCTGACAGCACTCTTCGAAAGTTTCAGATGATGTTTGTATTGCTTGCAAAGGTTAAGATGTTGTTTCTATTGCTTGCACACTAATGTGCATTCATCAAATTTCGTTTGCAGCGGGTTCTCTACATAGACATCGATGTCCACCATGGAGATGGAGTGGAAGAGGCGTTTTACACCACTGATAGAGTTATGACAGTTTCTTTCCACAAATTTGGGGACTTTTTCCCAGGAACTGGTCACATAAGAGACGTTGGGGCGGAAAAAGGAAAATACTATGCTCTAAATGTTCCATTGAACGATGGCATGGACGATGAAAGTTTCCGCAGCTTGTTCAGACCTCTTATTCAGAAGGTTATGGAGGTGTATCAGCCAGAAGCAGTTGTTCTTCAGTGTGGGGCTGACTCCTTAAGCGGTGATCGGTTGGGTTGCTTCAACTTATCAGTCAAGGGTCATGCTGATTGCCTCCGGTTCTTAAGATCTTACAACGTTCCTCTCATGGTCTTGGGTGGTGGAGGGTATACTATTCGAAATGTTGCCCGTTGCTGGTGTTATGAGGTCTTTTCATCTCTTCTATGCTTTTAAAGTATATAATAAGTTCTTGTTCTTGAAAGGTCTGTTTCTGTTGCTTCGTTGCAGACTGCTGTTGCGGTTGGAGTAGAGCCGGACAACAAACTTCCGTACAATGAGTATTTTGAGTATTTTGGCCCAGATTATACGCTTCATGTCGAACCAAGCCCAATGGAGAATTTGAACACACCAAAAGATATGGAGAAGATAAGGTAAGACCTCGTACTAGTCCTTTTTATGGTTATTGTACTGCAGCTGCAAATGAATTCCTATGTAATCTCGATGTAACATAGGATTTATCTTCGTGCTGGTTCCAATAGTTCAGGAAAGCTTTACATATTCATAGCTTTGGGCTTACGAACCTTGTTGGCCTTGTCAATGGGATATGTTGAACTTAGGGAAATGACTTATTGATATTTCAGGAACACGTTGCTAGAACAACTTTCGGGGCTAATACACGCGCCTAGCGTGCCATTTCAGCACACACCTCCAGTCAATCGAGTTTTGGAGGAGGTAATTTTTTTTTTGCAAATCATTCTATTCTCTTTCGTGTTTTAGTTTCTTCCTGTCCTACCGACTCATTAGATATGTTCATCTCGAAACTTTAGCCGGAAGATGACTTGGAGAAAAGACCAAAGCCTCGCATTTGGAGTGGAACAGCGACTTATGAATCGGACAGTGATGATGATGAGAAACCTCTTCATGGTTTCTCAGGTATTGGTGGCGCAACTATGGACAGGTAAAAAAAAAGCAGCTTCCTCCTAGTTCAGTCTACCAAACCCCTTGATAGTCTTTGTCTAAACTTGTTTACAAAGTGATTGAGTATTTAATTGAAATCTCTTAAATTCTTCAGGGACTCTACAGGTGAAGATGAAATGGAAGATGATAACCCAGAGCCGGAGGTGGATCCCCCATCTTCTTAAAAACTTGTTTCATAGGAATCCATTTCTATTACCATTCAAACAAAACCAGAAAAATGCATCTAAATAGTTTTTTTTTGGGTTCTATCTACTCTTACAAAGACAATGAATGCCTTTAGAAAAACCTACGGAAATAGCTTAAAATTGAGACTTTCATCATCCAATTTTATCAGAAATATGTAAAATTGCCCATAATTTAAGAGCAGACATGGCTAAGGAGCTTGTTTCTCTCCAACTTCTCCCACCACAATTTCACATTCCACGCCATTTCATTGCCCTTTCTTCTCCTTCAACCCTCAATCTCCGCCCCAAACCACCGCAAAACCCAATCTTTATCCGCCGAGCAACCACCCAATCTCACCGCCACAAAACTTCCAACGACGACGACGCAATCCCAGCCAACGAAGTGAAAACCATCGCGAAATTCAAATCCCGCCACAATTACATAAGAGTCATTGAAGTTTCCCGAAAAACAGAGCACCCTCTCGCCGGCTCACGCCTCCTCCTCCTCGATAATCCCGGTAACATCCACAGCATCTCTTTCCTCCTTAAAACTTTAACCGACAGTTACTTCGACGTCTTCGCTACCCTGCCTCCGATTATCCCTCCCGGACCCATCGGCGTTCTCGGATTCGGAGCCGGTTCAACAGCCAGATTGATTCTCGAGCTTTACCCTCCCGAAATCACCGTCCATGGCTGGGAAATCGACCCTTGTGTAATCGACGTCGGAAGAGAGTATTTTGGCCTCTCTAAGCTCGAGAGGGATCACAAAGACAGGATTTTTATCAACATTGGAGACGCCTTGAACGCTAGCGTCAAAACCGGGTTTTCGGGTATTTTAGTTGATCTTTTTAGTGAAGGGAGTGTGATCGAAGAGCTCCAAGATCCAAAAGTGTGGAAGAGTTTGAAAAGCAGGTTGAGGAAGAGAGGGAGGATTATGGTGAATGTTGGAGGAAGATGTGTGGAAGCTGAGGATTCAGAGAGAGATGGGGATTTGGTTATGGAGGAAACGTTGAAAGCAATGAGCCAGGTTTTTGGTGATAAGCTCTTTGTTCTAACGCTCGGGAATGGTAATGATAGCTCCCTGGCTCTAACCGGTGATTTACCCGATCTTGATGCGTGGAAGAAGAGACTCCCACTTCCCGAATTGCGCAGCTTTGTTGATATGTGGAAACCTTTTACAAAATTCAGATTGAAATATTAAGCCTTTATGATATTGCTTGTGATAATTAGTGTAAAGTAATGCTGCAATGTGTTTTTGCTCTCTCATTTTGGATCATGCCAAGCTATGAAATTTGATTAGCTCATACACAAAACTTTGTTGGCTTAACCATTGTTTCTATATTGTTGAATCGTAAGGCTTTCTACTTCTTTCATGGCTTCAATCTAAAGATTTTACTCATTACTGTTATCCATGAGTTCTGGTATTTTTGTAGCTAAAGTCGACAAAGATCTCTGTATCGCTCTGTTTAACCCAAAATCAAAAGTTGGGCTTTAGTGTTTTCACAGTTTATACTCGAAGAAGAAGATCTAGATGCTGAAATAGTGAAATCCATTGAAGCTTCATCAGGAGGCAAAAGCATTACAGTGGCATTCTTTCTTCGACATCATCATTTAGCTCTTAATCGTTTCACCCGAAAAATTAAGTTCATTTATCATCTCAAACTATAGAATCTACTTGAAAAGATACATCATAATTAGTGCAAGTTTTTGATCTGTAGTTTTGAAAGCTAGATTGAAGCTAAAAATATTAGTAGTTTAGGTTGTAACAAATTTTGTTAATATGAAGTTCAGCATTCAAACCCCTAAAAGTTCTTGATTATCAATATTTTTACATCTGTAAGATATAGACTACAGTCCCTACATCAACATTATACATTGTTGAAAATATAGATTAAATCAAACGCATGCTTCTTGCTTACCTTAGGCTTTTGCCCGTAGGATACAAATTCCAATTAGTTGCAAAGTATCATTGGAGGTTATAACCACCGTACGTTTATTTTACAATAATCTTTTAAAATTCTATAGGAGTTAGAATCTATAGATCAATTCCAGAAATAATAAACATCAAATAGCTACATTCCAAATGATTTGATCTATAACTCTTATATTACGTGGGCCACTCTTAAGATTACATCTACACTATGTATTCCAATTATTAGCCTTTTTTTTTTTAATATCAAACTCGTATTATGCATTTAGCTTAAATAGCATATACTCTACAATAAATAACACATCAGATTTTTCATGATTACTACAAACGAAATATTGGATAACGCATGAAAATTATAGCATAAATACAACATTTTTGATCGTATATTTAATATTTTAGTAAAATAATTTATAATTACTGAAACGAAGGGTTGACTTTAATTGACCGATCACGTGTTACTGCAGAGAAATAAGCAATCCCGAGGTAGAATAAAATCTCTATCCCTAGCTCGTCAATTTCTTCATTTTTAGTTTCGACAAAACATGAAATTCCATATTACAGAGAAAATATTTAGGTTTGTAATTCTAATAACTGGAAGTTTTTTTTTCAATTTTAGAATTGCAGTTTATTTCAATGTATCAATTAAATAACCAATTACTCCCTCTCAAGGTCGGATCTGAGAATTTGAGGGATAGAAACAATTTAAGAACAAATATTTTTTTTGTGATTTAGGGGCTGAAAAATTCGTAAATAACTAAAGAAAAATTTTCGGGGCTGTAGGCGGATGTTTCATCAGGCTGTCTCCAGATCCGGCCCTGCTCCCTCTGTTTAGAATTAGTTGATGTTTAAGGTTTTTGCACACAGATTAATAATGCATTTAATATTTATTTTTTCTACACTAAAAACATTATCTATAATTCATTTAAATATTATTCAGCCAATAAGAAAACAATCTGCAGAATATAAAAAGTCAAAAACAATATAAATTCATTAAATTTTACATTGAAAAATGAGAACATCAAATAATCCTGAACAAAAAAAAATCTCATAAAACATCAAATAATTCTGAACAGAGGAAGTATGTAAATTTAGTGGTTTGTACTAGTTTTACCGTTCTATTACCAACTCTTAAATGCAGTAAATTCTACCTATATCAAATGAAGAATAATTAATTAAATGAATATTATGTAGTTAAGTGCATAAGACATAAATGTATCCATATAGCCATATAGGTTGATTAGCATATTTTCTCCATTGAACTATACTTGACATGTTTTACATTATCAGTAAGTAAAATTATTAACTGCGTTAATGGGTCATTTAGGTAGATGACTTTGAGGGTGATAATTTGCAGTAAAAAGTACAAGGTGGAAATAGTAGATAATTGAGTTATTAGTTAAATTGTAACATGTTTGTTTTTTGTTTTTGCTTTTTTTAAAGAAGATGCACGAAACTCATGTTATTTGAAAAAACATGCACGATAAGTTCTATTTCTTCTTCTAATTGTGTTTCATATTCATGATTGCAATCTAGCTTGTATTCAATTCTGCAGATATAAAAACAAGCAAAGCAAATGAGATATTCACAAGACTATTCTCCAAAAAACTATTCTCCAACTTTGAATCATTGGCCTTTCTCATACCTCCAACTTTACCTTCCATCAACATTATTCATTAATTAAATATTATCTCGTATATGTGCCTGTGTTTCAAATGAGACCATAGATAAAATGTGGTTTCTAAAGATTCTAAAAGTCACAAGGACTGAATTAAATTAACAGAAGAAAATGAATGCGAGGGACAAAGTAGTACTAGTCTAGTTTTAGTAGATCATATGTGTGAGGAGGACCCATATTCTCTCTCTCTCTCTGCAAACCCTTTATAACACTTCATACCCCCACCTCTCTATTGTATCAATTTATACGCCTGTATGCAACCTCTTCATATTTAAGGGCTATATATATATATATTGTTTTTCGGCACATTGAAGGGCTAATATATAGATCAATGCCAGCTCTAATTAATTAGTTGCTTTAATCTTTTGAGTTCTGATGATAGTAAAATTTGTTAAATTTTCCTTTCGTAAGATATTGATCAAGTATTTTGATTTCCAAGTCGAAAATTTAAAATAAAACAATTCATTCAATGTCAAATAAGTTTCAAAAGAAATTCATAATAATATAAAACATAACAACTATATCCCTGAATTTATTTTCAATATATATATATATAATAATAATAAATCAATCAACCAAATCATAGTTCTTCAATAATTTTCAAACTTCATTGATGTTTTGCCATCTGAATGCCCAAATCAATGAGATTGAAAATTTTGATATGAGTCGAACCAATTTTTTTGTATCCTAAAAAGTACGAAGATTTACGTTTTCTCTTTTCGCAAGGAGTGCGAGACTAGTTTCCTCTTTTAGCAAAGAATAGGACCTCTATTTTCGAACCCTAATTCCTTATATTAGTCACAAAATTAAGATTTTAGTTCGGTTAAAAAGGCTAGATGCTTCACTTTAGTAAATTACTATATTCCCACCACTAACCACCATCATAACATGACAAAGAATAACTATTTAATGGATCTTGAAAGCCATTTTTTTCTTGGAACTGTATCTTGAAAGCATTCCAAAAAACTTATAAGGTGAAATTTTCAGTCTAACTTATTTTCGAAATTGACAGCGTTCCAAGAGGTTCAGCTCGAAGTACTAGCCTGAATTATATATATAAAATAACATTAATTCTACATTAGTCTGAATTTATTTATATTCGAGTCGAACCATTTGAACTTTGTTTATAGAATAGCGCCTCTGGTACTCATTTGAACTCTTTTATTTATAAAGAAAAAAATAGAATAGCGCATGTAGTCATTTGAACTCTTAAGTTTCGACTCGAATGTTTTATTCAAGTGAGTTTGTGGGAAAAACTCTTGTCAAAAAAATTTCCTTCCGTCAACATTTGATATTTGATCTGACTTTCGGCTAAAAATATTTGGTGATTAAATGTGCAAAAACTAAATAATAGGAAATCACTGTAACAAAATGTCACAATCGGTTGTCACTTCCAATAATATATACTCTAACACAAGTAACTGTTGATACTAACCCTAGCTATATCTTCAAAACTCTTTGGACCCCCCTCATATTTATTTTTGTTCATTACAAAAGTTTGATTTTACAAAACCTATTAAAACTTGACTTGAGATCACATGAAATCTCTTGACTTTTACTGATTTCCTGTCTCTACCTAGCTACTTTTGAGGTCTTGAGAGTTTATCCGTGTTCATATATATTATTTTTCGATGAAATTAAAATGAAGAATATTTTGCCACAATTAGGAAAATTGAATATTCAATTATTAATATTAAGTTTAGGATGTGAAGATTTTTTTATTACGGTACGAACACAGTGACCATGAGAAGTTAACATGCATATATTCAAGAAATTTGTACTGGCGGTCTAGTTTATTCTGCCAAAACCATTCGTATATATTCTAAATAGTATGCTCTTTAACAATCCCCATTGCAAATCAGAATTTACTGTGATCGTACTCAATCGAGAATTTGATGGAGACGTTTAGGGCTCCTGAGGTTCCAAGTCTTAATATGGCTATCAGCGTGACAGGTATTGAGAGATCATAGCATATATATACACAATGGTTATTGATTAGTTAGCTTACGGTTGATCTTGGGACTGTTAGGGAATATTGTTATCATTAAATGCATGAAGAAAATTTACAAAAGCTAAAGTTAAATAAATCAATATATTGGGAGACAAAAGTGAGCACAGTGAATGATATTACTATTATTCTTGAGATGAAATGTCATAGTCATTCTTTAAGGGACATACCTTCTCCTCCTCTTCCTGTTTATTAATTGTTCATTTGTTATTATTACACTTTGTCTTTTGCTCTTTCTCCTTCTTCTCCACTAAAAAGTTTCTCTTTCATTTTTCCCCTTTTTTATTTGTTAGTTTGGTTTCTTTAAATTCTCAGCTTCTATACAAATCTTTCTCAATTCTTCTTGAAATTAGGGTTTTCCTCTTTTCTTTGAGAGGGCTAAAACCCTAATATATCCCTCTCATTGACTAAAGAGTTAAGCCTACACTATCTACTTTGGAAGCAAATTTCAAAGGTAAGAAAAAAGCCCTTGAAAGAGGAAGAAAGATACACTTAGATCCTCAAAGAACCTAAAGATCTAAAGGCAGGTATATATATATACTCTATATATGCTTCGATGTATGTATGTATATATGTATCTAAATAAATCCCTAGATGTATGCATAACCCGATAATCACAGATAATCCTTTTCTATTATATGTTTTTTCTTCTTCTATGCTTCAAGTTATTTGTTCTATGCGCGATTGCTTATATGTGTATATATACATATCCACTTTAATTGATCGTTCTGTCAATTTCCTTACTTTGAATTTCTACTAAAAAAGACTTAGGTATATAATTGTAGCATATGAGAAAAGGATAGTACATGTGTAAATTAAATCTTCATCGTAGCAGTTTGAGTTGACCTAATTAAGATCAGATTTATTAAAATTTATATACATATCCAGATTAGGATTGATTTGAGGTTAGTGGAATTGTTTCAATTCAACAAGGACAAGGAGGGAAAAAAGAGAGAAAGATATATAGAGATGGATAGAGAAAGAAAGACTAACTCAATAAGTTATAAAAGATAAACTACGAAATTTCAATTTTCTATGACGTCCAAGTTTAATTTTGGGCTTTCGATTAGAATTTAAAGAATCCTTACTGAGTTTCTCTTTAAAGGTAATTAGTTTTTTTTTTTAACAAAGCTAGGGTTGAGGAGAGAGAGCAAGATAGAGAAGATGGTAAAGCACAAGGGCACAACTGAATCACAATTAAGAAAAGATGCTTTAATTTTCAGTAAAATTTGTAATATAAATATGCATTAAACAAAAAAAGTAGTGTTATATGTAATATTGTTATACCGAGAGATACACAAACTCATCGATCTGACATAAAAACAGTTACTTTTTTTGTCCAAGGAGTTTGTACAAACACTCATATAGTTTTAATTGATTCTGAACTGATCCACATGTATGTCCAATGTTAGAAATAAAGTCTGTATGGGTATATATATATATATCCATACATATATATATCCTCTGTTAAGGTATATATATGTATACTCTGTCATATAACAAAAACTTACTGAATTCTACTTTAAATCAGTTTCTCCTATTGTTTCTAGAGGGAACTTAAGAGATGCTATGATCTGTAATATTTAAGTGATATAAATTGTGTCCAAGTGATATTTGTCTATATAATAAATTAGACCCAGCTTCCTAAATCACATATTACTTATGTAGTACTTCACTAAAAATAAGGCTTATACTTAAAAATAGGCTTTACAGATTAAGTTAATGAGATTTATTGACAAAAATAAGATTTTTAAATGCTAGATATATATCAGTTAGCGTAAAAACAAAAACATCCAGTGAAACCAAACTGATCATAGTTCAATTTACCAGCATGTCCTGATGAATCTTTGTGTTAAATCTTGAAGACCTTTACGTTTTGTAAAGCTAGTTTATAATTTTCTTAGATTAGATATTGGACATGTACGTTATGTCCCTTTCTACGTTTCTCCTGTGTGTGTGTGTTTTTAACTATTTTTTGTTTTAATGCTGAAATGATTTCTTTTTATAAAAAACTTGATTTTAGGTATAAGAAACCAGAAAAGAAATGGCGTCGTCGTCATCAAACACATACAACTCACCATGTGCGGCGTGCAAGTTTCTTCGCCGGAAATGCATGCCGGGATGCATATTCGCGCCATATTTCCCACCGGAGGAGCCACACAAATTCGCCAACGTCCACAAGATCTTCGGAGCAAGTAACGTCACTAAGCTCCTCAACGAGCTCCTCCCTCACCAGCGTGAAGACGCAGTCAACTCCTTAGCCTATGAGGCTGAGGCACGTGTCCGTGATCCCGTCTATGGCTGCGTCGGAGCCATCTCTTATCTCCAGAGACAAGTCCATAGGCTTCAGAAGGAGCTCGACGCGGCTAATGCTGACTTGGCTCATTATGGTTTGTCCACGTCAACACCTGCCGGCAACGTCGTCGACTTGGTGTTTCAGCCTCAGCCGCTTCCGCCGCAGCAGACGCAGCCGTTGAATCCGGTTTATAGACTTTCAGGGGCGAGTCCGGTAATGACTCAGTTGCCACGTGGCAACGGAGGATCTTATGGGACTTTTCTTCCTTGGAACAATGGTCATGATCAGCAAGGAGGTAACATGTGATCAGAGTATATAAATTATGTGTGCTCCATCGATTCATCTCTCTCTCTCTCTTTCTTTATTTATGTGTGTATGTGGAATGTGGTACGAATACTTTATAATAAGCTGGGATTTTTTTCTTGCGAACTTTAAATGCATGGACTGTTCGTATTTATTTATGATGAGATATATATAAAGATATTGTCGTTTTTGATTATTATTATTATTATTACTATTTTGGTGTGTAACGATACCTTAGCTAGGATATAGTTGTGTTATGTTTTATGAATTGGGAACGATTAACTGGTTATTTAGGCTATACAATAAGAAACAAGACCCACTTGTTATTTTGTGTTTATACACCATTGTGACTTAATTAATTAATATCATTAACGTTTATGATGGGATATATATATATAAAATAATTATGGCGCTGATTGTTATTTCCCAAGTTGGTTCAATACCTAAACTAGAATTGTTGTAATGTGATGCGTGGATGTTTGACAGAAGTTAAGGGCAATAAAAATTGAATGAAGGATGCTGTTTATTATTAGTTAACAGTTTATATAGTTTTTTATTTGTGATATACGGAAGTGGTGTTCATTGTATCATTGTATGGTTGCTCACCTAATATATATAGGGGATGTATATAAGTGCATATTCTATCATATTAGTAGTTTTGTATTTTTTTAGTGAAAATAATTTGTAGAGCGACGGCTAGGCATGTGGATTATGAAGTTTCCTTTTCCCTTTTTTTATATATTTTTTTGCTTATTAATATATTAAGGTGTGTGCAGCCTTTCAGACAGTCATAAACAATGATCGTTAGAATGTTATTGCATTAAAGTATTAAGAATTCTTTTATGGGGGGCATACTATTATGGAGTCATCCTGTGAAATTTACCAAATATAGTCTAAGTCATGAGTAGTGAAATTGAAGTAGCAACAAGAAAATGACGGTTTTGTGATTAAACGGTCTGTACTGAGACAAAATAATAGCTGTAGCATATTAAATTTTAAACCAATTAAAAGACGGTAGCTTGTTTTTATTAATGCATCTTGGAAATTGAAGAAAATGACGATGTTTCGTGACTAGAACACGAGGGTGAATCTGATTCAATCTTTCTTTTTTGGACGTCTTCTTTGATTTTGATCTAAACACTCAGAAACGATATAAATGATTTGTACATAGTAAGTTTTTTTAAAAAGAAGCGATTTATTGATAATAACCAAGTACAAAAACAAAAAACCAATTAAAATTAAAAAGAATTACAAGTACGGATAAAACCACATCTAGAAAATACCAGTATCATGCAGCTGCTGTTTGAATACATTTGAACTACATTAAACGGGAATGGTGATTTACGTCATACTGTCAACAATTTTTTTTAATAAGCCTACTTGAATGCCTAATTGTTTGGTCCATATATAAGCCCAATTTTATACAAATCGAGTCGAAAAGTTGCTACATCATAGCTTGTGATTGTGAATTGCAATAACACTTAGTGATATGAGTTAGATATTATAATTTGTCAAAAGACATAGTCACATAAGTAATAATACAATATAACTTTGTTTTGCCAAATCTAGTTACTTTAAGATGCGAAATCTAATATGTAATTCTTTACTTCTATCTTAAGCCCATAATTTGGCTCGTACGTTTTTATCTATCTATGGCTCTATGCCAAACATAAATTCACCATAGCCAAAATTAAAAAAATATACATATATATATATATATCTTTTTCTTATATATCCTTAGAAATATTACCAATGAAAATAATTAACACTAATTTGAGATGGTATGCGCATTTGTGGTCAAGAGTCTAGAATTAATTTTATATTCGTGTACTATTAAGAAAAAAAGATCGTTCATCGTTGTATAAGAAAGTGCTATCGCAATTAATACGATACAAAGATAAACACAAAAATTAATGTTACTCCCTCCATCATTCTGAAGTCTGAACTATGGAGTATATGATATGTGCTATACAAGTTAGTGCTATACACACACACATGTACATGCTGAAACACATATATTTTTGTTTTCATGAGTGAAATGAAAATAAGCATAATAATAACCATAGCCCAAGGGAAAGACATGAATTCTACTTCTATATTATATCATCAAAATATAGGTACATGTTCTTACAATGGGATTATTGCATCTGTTCATGTATCATATAGTTATGTAAAATGATAATATATATATATAATATAAATTGTGAAAAATTACCCTTGATATATATTTAAAAATTGTGAAAAATAATTGTGGATATTGTCGCGGAGAAAATAATAGGAAGAGATCGAGAATCCATCAAATCCATCAATCAATCGATGTCTTTAAAGACGTAAAAAGGAAGCAAACTCTGAGTTTCTGCCTTTCAGCTAAACTACAAAACTCAACAAGTTTCTTTAATATTGCGGGTCCTTTACTACTTTTAACACTCCTAAAATTAGTAAAATTATAAGAAGATCATAGTTTTAAAAATGCAACGAGAACTGTAACTTCTATTAATGTCAAAATCCCAAGTTCGAGGTTTAAAGCCTATACCTAATGGTTTTCAGATTAGTGCTGATTGGCTTTGCGACCTGACAGTTGTTAGTTTGGTTTAGTTTTTTTCTTCTCATTTATTTGAATCAAAATTGTTTTAGATCAGAGTTACCAATATCTACTAATACAATTTTATAAATTTTTTTTTTTTGGTAGAGAACATTTTTTGTCCGGATTTGGGTTGGGGTCATTTTGAGCTAAAATATTCCAATTAACGTTTCTAAAGTCATATAATAAAAACTCAAAAGGCGTTTAAAAAAAATTCAAAAAGATTTATAAATTTCAAAGGATATAAAAGCCTCCATATTTTATAATTTGTAATAGTTGGTGCGCTCGATATATTATCTTTAACCTTCCAATCATTGATTCTAAGAATATTAGGATTCAATAATGATTAGATATAGTGTAATAACCGCCGACCATTGTCTCCATATAGATTCTAATAATAGTGGCTTTAGATCCGTATATTTCCTTAGGTTCTGTTAATCATTTACCCGCCTCAGCTGCTATTTGATGTTGCAACTCATGACTTATTCTATGGTACAATTACAATCGAACTGGACTTCTGGCAAATATTATTTTTCTTTTTGATTTTACCTAGTAATATTTCTTGCAATAGTAATTAATTTATAAATTCGAGGGGAGAAAAATAAAGTAGGTAAAAATGAGAAATGATGAGTTGTAGTTATATATTTTTTTTTAAAACAAGTAGATGTTTTCTTTCTTATTTTGTTTTTGCGTCTCGATTTTTACGGATATTTTTCCTTTCTCATTCTTTTTAATTGGTAAAATTAGTAGGAAACTAATATAGTTGAACGAGTTGACGGGAAAAAAAGTAGGAGATTACTTTTCTACGATTCCCCCCTCTCCTTCTAGTTGGGCCACCAGTGATACTCTTATTGTTCTTAATCAATTATATAAATACTCAGCAGCTAATTCCTCGTTTCATTATTGGTATTCTCCACTTAATCCACTAATGATGTTGTTGTTGTTGCTATTGATATGCATGCCTTTGAAAGAGAATCATGGCAGCTAATTATTGGAAACTCTTTTGTCGATCATAAGCACTATTTAGATTCATAAGATCTAAAATTTCCCAACTATTTGTCTCATATAAATTTTATATCTGAAATGGAAAATATAGTAATGATGATTAAAGCAGCATGCATTGAACAAAACCGAAAAAGAAAAAAGAAGACTGATTGATAGATAGATGCATACGAGAATCTCAGGATTTGAAAGAGCCCCAGTTAGATTTCTAAAAGAATATTTGAACTGAGTTTGTAGAATATATGTTAGGGATATTAAAAAGGGAGTTTACATAATACTGTTTTATAATTGATTAGTAGTTAGTTTCATGCCTCCAGCAGAAAGAAGGGGTGATAATGATTAATTTAAGGTTTGTTTTTAGTCTTTTTGACTAAAATTTGATTATAATAAAGAAAAGGCAAATAATTCTCAGTTGAGATGCATTAACGAATCCAACCGACACATTTGACGAAATTTATATCATAACATACGATTTTTTTGTTAATTACTTTTTGTCTTTCTGAATTGTATAATGCATGTAAGAAATTGTGAGAACAGTACGTATTCTTAGTTCAATGCCTCCTTTTTTAATTTTTTATTTGAAAACGCAATTTATGTCTTACTTACGGTTTACGGCTTTTAGTTGTACTTTTATTTTTTTAAAAACTGTGGTCGATCGTAAAATTATTTCAGTGGTTATTCAAGTAGAGTCATAGTCTATATATAAACGTTTTTTTTTTCGGGGTCAGAAATATAAACGTATCTTTAAAACCCCAAAAAGTATATCTTATTAAGACGGGTTTTCGAATTATGATTCTAATCGTAACTCAAGATTAATAAAAATATTTTACCATGTTTATCTTTTATCTTCTTTATCTTTTATCTTCTTTAAGAAGATGATAATTTTTCAATACTAAGCTTAAGCTGATGTGACGACTTTTGAAGGTTCAAGAAAGGGTCTTGGATTATTTAAGAAGGGCTCTTAAACATTTAAGAACCATGCCTAAACCTTATTTGTGTGGCATAATAAGAATTTTGATTTCAACTAATGACATTTCTGGAAACAACATATGTATAATTTGGTATCTAAGATGTCCATAAAATGATTTTTCATGTAGGTCTAAAGATTTAATTACTTCTCCCAAACTTTTAGGGAAACTAATTTCAAATTGTAACTTGACATTTCATAATACTGTAAATCAGTGTGAATATAAAGATATGAAACTCGAGCAACAACATCAGCTTAATCTTGGCTACGAAATTTTTGTTTTTTTATAGAAAATAGAGAGTTTTTCACCTTCATTGTTTAGCCTGCAACGAGTAGAATAAGCAATGTTAGAAACTCTTAAAAGTTCTATAAATTTGAATCGGACAGAAACTCTCTTTGTTTACGGGTTACTGTTCCAAAAAAGTGAAATCTAGATATCTCAATTGCTTAATTTCTATACTGATACAGCAAATGATTTTGTAATGAAAGGAAAAATAACAGATATTGATTACCGTAAGTCGAGAAGAACGGCGAGGAGAAGATGAGGCAGATAACAGGAGATAGGATCTGTTAACCCTCTATGTTTTAGACACTAGTAGGCTATTAGTGAGCCACTAATGGGCCAAAAATGACATATAACAGGCCATTAACGATCTTCTAATGGGCTATTAATTGGCATTAATGGGTCATTAATGGGCTCCTGATAGGTCGTTAATGATACGGGGGCACTAATGGGTCGAATATGTTCATATAATGGGTCATTAAGGGGCTTTTAATATACCCATTAATGAGCTAATGGGTCATTAGTTGACTCTAATGGGTCATTAGAAGACATAATGGGTTACTAATGGGTTGAAAATGAACATATAATGGACCAATGAGCATATAATGGGCCGAGACCTTAAAACGCTCCGTTTCAGCTGAAAAGTCTATCGTCTCTACCGGCGACTTGATCGGAGATTCTCAGTTTCTGAGGCAGGGCTTTGAGAGCAAAGAAAATCTCAAAAATTCGTAAAGTGGGGAAATGGGAATAGAGATTGTAGGTCAAATCGAGAAAGTCAGTGGTAAAGAGTTGAGTTACAGTGATTTTGCAGAGAGATACTTGGCCAAGAACCAGCCAGTGGTAATCTCCGATCTCACTGACGATTGGCGAGCTCGGGAAGACTGGGTCAGTGGGAATGGACGCCCTAATCTTCAATTCGTTGCCACCCATTTTGAAAATTCCAGAGTTCAGGTAATCCATGAATGATGAATGTAACTCTGTTTGATTCCGGCAAAGAGTCCTCAGTGTTTGTATCTGTGTGCAACTTTGCTCCAAATTTTTCAAATTTTTGGTTTTTCTTGGTTACAAATTCGTCAGGCTAATAATGTATTTTGTAATGAGCATACTCGCGTAGTCTTTTTGCACTGATTATTTGGTGCTGGTTATTTGCAGGTTGCAGATTGTGATACGAGAGAATATACAGATCAGAAAAGATTAGAAATGTCTGTTATGGAATTTGTCGAACAATGGACCCAGGCTTCTATTGAGGACAAAGGAAAAGATGATGTTTTGTGTGATAATGGAAAGTCAGTTTTGTATCTGAAGGACTGGCACTTTGTCAAGGTGCATACTTGAGGTCAATTCACAAGCTTGCTACTTTGAATTGTTGTGCTGATTCTTGTTAAATCCAGGAGTATCCAGACTATACGGCTTACCAAACACCACCGTTGTTTTGTGATGATTGGCTTAACATGTATCTAGACAACTACCAAATGCATGAGGATAGAGATCATTTCCAGAAGTACGATCAAATAAGCTGCTCTGATTATCGCTTTGTTTATATGGGCGGAAAAGGTCTGTGTAAGATCTTTAATAATTACATGTGAAACCGATATACCAATTTGTGGTCTTGCTCTCTGGTTTGAGTGTTTTGGTCTTTGGACAGATCTGATCATGTCTTAACTCTTGGCTGCAGGATCTTGGACACCTCTGCACGCTGATGTCTTTAGATCTTATAGTTGGTCAGCTAATGTATGTGGTAAAAAAAGATGGCTTTTTCTTCCGCCTCCTCAAAGTCATCTTGTTTATGACAGGCAAGCGTTTTCTTTTCTCGTGTTGGTCAGATAAGCCACATTTTATTTTCACTCTTTTTAGCCTTATAGTTCGATGATTTTTTCAGGTACATGAAAAATTGCGTTTACAACATCTTTGAAGAGGTGAATGAGACTAAATTCCCAGGTTTTAAGGAGGTAAATCAGTTAGTCCTACTATTAGTTTGTAAGGTATTCTTGATTTCTTTCACCATTGTGTTTATGCGCGTTTTATGGTTTGCATTCAGACTACGTGGTTTGAGTGCATTCAAGAACCTGGTGAAATTATCTTTGTTCCCAGTGGATGGCATCACCAAGTATATAACTTGGTAACTCCCATTCTCTCCCTCTATCTATAATATTTTGACATCATCAAAACGTTGGTGAGTGATCTTAGATACTTTTACAGGAAGACACAATATCTATTAACCACAATTGGCTCAACGCATACAACTTATCTTGGGTGGTAAGGGCATTTCTACTTGTATATAAGGAAAAATGCAACTGAACTAAAAGATGAAGTTAGTTATGACTGCTCAAATTTCAGTGGGATCTACTATGGAAGGACTACAAGGACACTGAAGAGTCAATAGAAGACATAAGAGACATCTCTGATGATTTTGAAGCTCTCTGCCAGCGTAATCTTGCTGCCAACACAGGTGCATGCATAACTTATCTTAATTTGAGGAGACCCATCTCTATCTTTTCTCCTGTTTCTCTCCTTTCCTAATTTGAGGGTAGCTTCTTCTGGTTATTCATCTGGGAACATTCGAGTGGATAAGTTTAATGTCTTCAAGAAATTAAATGCTGTAGGTGCAGCTATCTGTGTAGTATGTTTAGGAAACTCAGTGTGCAATAGTGAACAACTGAATCTTTAAGTTGAATGTTTTTTTCATATCCGAACAAAAACTTTTTTAAAAAACAACCCTTCTAAGCTTTGGAGCTTTGAATATGAACATCCCTATGTTGACTCCTTCTCTTACAGGAATGAATTTGAATGACTTCTTCATCTTCACGTCACGTTTTGCTTTGGGCAACATGGTCCTACTGCAGTCTTACGCTAACAAACAAGAAACCCTGAATCCATGCTCATCAGCAATGGCACAGAATCTGGTATTGAATCTCTCGACTATCCAGAAAATCATGGTGATGATGATATCTGCAGGCGCCGTAACTGCAAAGGATGTGTATCTGGACTTGAGAGAAACACTGGAGGAGGATCCACAGTTTCTCAGTTTGTGCAGAGACATTGGAAGAACATATGCAATGATTCACAGGGAAGAAGAAGATCAGATACTCTTTGCGAATGAGTTATTATTACCAAAGATTTCAGGTTTTGCAGACCAACAGATGCAAATATGTTCTCCAAAAGATCTTGTTGTAATGATAGACCGTTGTAATACTTGTTCATCTCATCTCTTAGCATGATGAAAAATATACCTTTTATTGACCTTATTGGATTTTCTTTTTTTACATATATAAATCGAATACACATTCCATGGAAGTTCAAGAAGTTCTCATTCTCTCTATATACAGAAATGAAATGACGAAACTAGCACTAATAGATTTAGGGAATATTATACTTAATTATAGTATCTTATTTACTCGGTCAATCTCTGATATTTTGGTCAGTTTCGGATATATCAGACGATCCCCAAGATTTCCGATATCTCCCTAACATTTTTTGTATAAATAGTAGCCCGAAGCAGTGAAAACACATCTTAGGAACAATGATCGAAAACACATCTTAGGAACATGATCATTGTTCCTGAGATGATCGGAAGTGTTGTCGGAGTTCATAACGGGAACAGATTTGATCAAGTCGTGATTAAACCGGAGATGATCGGTCATTATTTTGCCGAGTTTTCGATGACTTGCAAGAAAGTTAATCACTATAGACCACGTATCTGTGGTTGTGGTTGTTACCGTCGTTCCACCAGGTTTATTCCTCTCCGGTGATGATGAAATATAATTCTCTTTGGAAGAAGAAAGCTCTTTATTTGTTCTGTCTTATTGGTGTTTTTATTTTATTTTCTTGGAACCAGTAAATTCATTATTTTGGAGACACAATAAAACAACATTTCCTCTTCGGTCTCCAGCTTTGAACTAGTTTACGTCGGTTTACTTTGGTTAACCAGTTGGTTCTCATCTATTTTGTTCCAAATTGGTTTGACTTTGATAGAGCAATAGAGCTTTTCTTTTTGAAAAAGAACTGAAAATAATTTTTAAAAAAAATAATCTATGGTATAGTATAAGAAAATCTCCCGATAACATAAATTCTTATGATGGTTATTTGATCTAACCTTAAAATGAAACTCTCGTATTCCATTTGATCTAGTTACTCTTATCCCAATCTAAGCGAAGCCAGTTTCTTATGCAATTGTTCAAACATGAGTGCATGACTAAATGTATGTAGCTTATCAACTTTTAACAAACAAAACAAAATTAGATCATGTGTAATGTAACCACCGAGTGAAACTAAATGCAATGATTTAGGAGGAGCAAGAGACCATGCACTCTTTACAAGAAAACCATTACAACAGAACAATTCGTTTGTTTTTGCATATCAATAGATACACAGATTATAGGAGTTCATGAACATAAAATTTTCCATCTTATATAATAATTATTATTATTCATCATATTGTAGATTTTCGTTTACATGTATAACTAAAGAAAAGAAATGACAAAAATCATCCTGACAAACTGAAACTTGGATCTCTATCCTCTCATTTTTTCCATCTCTCCAGTCTTCATCCTGCATTTTTTTTAATAACCATAGAAATCAATAAAATCACATCAATTTCACTATGACATACACACATACAAGTACATACATGCATATATATATATATATATAGAGAGAGAGAGAGAGAGAGAAGAGAGAGAGAGAGAGAGTTACTGCGAGTGTGAGGTTGATGAGTGAAAGTTGCTTAAAGGTCGATGGCAGTCCTTCATACAATGTCTGAAGCATTCAGTTTTCATCTCACGATCGTTGCAGGTCATTATACATTGACCTACACAGACATGATCCATCGCTTCTCCAATGGGAGCCATCACCACCAGAACGAACATCATCATCACCACCACACTCCATTTGTTCTCCATTTTTTTTCTTCTTAATTAATTTGAAACAAATTATGTATGTATATATTATATTATATTCAATGGAAGCTCTCTCTCTCTCGCGATATATATACAGATGAATTGACCAACTCGTTGTCAGAAAAAAATTAGACTCTGTTTTGAAAAACAAATTGTGAGAAAAAGGAAACAAATCCCACATAAAAGCATAGTTAATTTTTAATACTTTGAGATTTTTTTTTTCTTTTGAAAGTTACATATGTCTCATGAAAACGGTTCTCAAAGAGTTCTCAAAAGGTTTTTAAAGGGTTCTCAAATTTTTTATTTGAGAATTGGTTCTCATCTTTTTTTTTTTTTTTAACTACTTTTTATTATTTTATTGCTTTCTAAGTTGAGAATCATTAAGATATTAGAGATGCTCTAAGATTCAGGCCACATTATTATAATGTATATTACCATTGAATCAACTTCAATTTATAGTGGGATATTCTAAGAAATTCTAATATTACAAAAATAATCGAATTCATGTATTACATTTTTTTGTTACCTTGATTCTCAAGTTATGATTTGGTCCCTTGTACTAGACAAGCTTGAATTTTGCCCGTCCTAGATATTTAGGTTGGGAGCATTGCAAGTAGCTTAAGAATTCAGTTTTTATTGATTTTATTTATTTATGTATCATTTGAACTATTCTTATCATTTTATTGGTTTTATTCTTCGACATATATTTTCTTGTGCGGTTCCTAATACATAATTATAGATTGATTTCACTGCAACTACCAGAAGTATATTCCAAACAAAGTACACATGATATTCAAAAACTTATAAATAAAATACTATTTCAAGATTTTCAACAATCATCTGAAAATACTAGAAATTTCAGCAAATTTAAAAACTAAAATAGTAGGATATTGGGTTGGGCATAGCCTTCGTTAAGTTTTCATACGGGTCATATTTATAGTTAGTTGTAAAACATAAATACAAAACCATACTGGCTGGCTCTTTCCATTCTTTCATTTGTCAGAAAAAAATTAGACTCTGTTTTGAAAAACAAATTGTGAGAAAAAGGAAACAAATCCCACTGAAAAAAAAAACAAAAAAATGGAAAATAGAGACAAAAAGGAAAAAGTAAAGAAGGTAATCAAGATTTTTTTCAAATTATAAAAATGTTATGTTAAGAATGTTATTTTCAAATAAAAATATTTTTCTATATTAAAACTTATTTTTAAGAAATTCTTTTGCATTTCTCCATTGTATCTCAAAAATACTCAAGTTTCTTTGTAGGTTTCTTAAAATAGCTTAAGTATTATAATAATCAATTAGAAACTCACATGAATTTCTTTGATAAATATGGTCTAAGAGGGTTAAATAAGTAGATGTATATCAAATTATAAATAAAATCTTAAAAATTTGAAAAGCATAACTAAAATATGCTACGGTAGGAATAAATCCTAAGCTAATATTTGATTATGATATTGACATGGTAGTAGCACAACTAGATTAGGAATACATTAATTAATTGATAGTATCTTATTTACTCGGTCAATCTCTGATATTCTTTCTGGTCAGTTTCCGATATATCAGACGATCGCCAAGATTTTACGATATATCCCAACGTTTTTGTATAAATAGTTAGTGAAGAAGAAGAAAGGATTTGTCACTTTACCAATTTCTAATGGCATGTTCTATCTTCTTGCAGAAAATCGCAAACTCCGATAACAATGGTGATCAACTAAGCAGAGTTTGCCACGGCCGTGGCGGTTGCGACGAAGAAGAGAGCGTTCAAGAAGTTCTCATTCAGAGGATTCAACGTCGAAGCTCTCCTCAAAATGTCGAACGTTGATCTCGCTAAGCTCTTCAACGCTCGTGTTCGCAGGAGATTCTACAGAGGATTAAAGAAGAAACCTCTGATTCTGATCAAGAAGCTACGAAAGGCGAAAAAAGAAGCAAGTGTTGAGAACAAGAAGAAGCCCGAAGCAGTGAAAACACATCTTAGGAACATGATCATTGTTCCTGAGATGATCGGAACTCGGAAGTGTTGTCGGAGTTCATAACGGGAAGAAATTTAACCAAGTCGTGATTAAACCGGAGATGATCGGTCATTATCTTGCTGAATTTTCGATGACATGCAAGAAAGTTAATCACTATAGACCACGTATCTGTGGTTGTGGTTGTTACCGTCGTTCCACCAGGTTTATTCCTCTCAGGTGACGAAGAAAATATAATTCTCTTTGGAAGAAGAAATCTCTTTATTTGTTCTGTCTTATTGGTGTTTTTTTTTTGAAACAGTTAATTTGTGTTTTGTGTTTTCTGTCTTGTCCTCTTCAGAATGTCGGATAAAGCTCTCTTTTTTTTTTGTTCCTTGAAGGTTTTGAATAATAGTTGTAGCAGATCTACAAAGCCTAACTCTCACTCATAATCACTATGAGTTCTATAACCGGTTATGCTAGATGAGGTCTCAAATCTAGTTCTAGAAGAAGACACATCTGCAAATTTTCTTTCCATTGATTCCATAAACAATGGTGTATCTCATAATTACACACAAGAAAATAAAGAAATTAACTAAATGGAAAATAAAGAAACGTGAAGACTAGAGAGGAATACAATCTCATTAAATTAGGAGACACAATAAAACCACATTTCCTCTTCGGTCTCCAGCTTTGAACTACTTGACGTCGGTTTACTTCGGTTAACCAGTTGATTCTCATCAATTTTATTCCAAATTGGTTTGAATTGATAGAGCGATAGAGTTTTTTTTTTTTTAAAAAAAGAGCTTACAGTATTTAATTTTTAAATTTATGGTAGTATAAGAACATATCCAGATACATCAATCTTTATGATGGATTCTAATCTTCTCATTATTAAAGTTCAACTTTATTGTAGATTTTCGTTTACATATTGAAAGAAAAGAAAGGAAAAAAATATCATCTTGACAAATTCTGAAACTTGGATCTTTATCCTCTCATTTCTTCCATCTCTCTAGTCTTCATCCTGCATCATTTATAACCATAGAAACCATATCAATTTCACTATGACATACACACGTACAAGAACATACATGCATATATACGGAGAGAGAGAGAGAGAGAGAGAGAGAGAGAGAGATTTACTGCGAGTGTGAAGTTGAGTGAAAGTTGCTTGAAGGTCGATGTTCGCAGTCCTTCATACACTGTCTGAAGCATTCAGTTTTGAACTCAGGATCACGGCAGGTCAATTCACATTTAAATACACATATATGATTTATTGCTTCTCCAATGGGAGCCATCACCACCAGAACGAACATCATCATCACCACCACACTCCATTTGTTCTCCATTTTTCTTCTTATTTTGACAAGTTATGTATGTATATATTATATTATATTCAGTGGAAGCTTTCTCTCTCTCTCTCGATATATATACAGATGAATTGACCAACTCGTTCTTTGTTTCTGTTAAATTTCATGTTATTACTATGAAAGCTATATATGCTAGGGCCATTAATATGTGAAGCGTTGAAAATTGACTATAGAACTCTTAAAAATGCATATGGAAAGATATATTACCAGAAATGCATATTATCAAAAGAAAGTTGACTAGTTTTGTTTATTAAGAGAATAAAGCATGAGATTGAGGCCACATTCTAATGTATATTACCATTGAATCAACTCCAATTTTAAAGTGGGATCTTCTACCAAATTTTAATATTACAAAAAATAATGGAATTAATTTACGTATTACAATTTTTAAAAATTAATGAAAATTGACTATAGAACTCTTAAAAATGCATATTATCAAAAGAAAGTTGACTAGTTTTATTATTAAGATAATAAAGCATGAGTTTCAGGCCACATTCTAATCCCTGTATATAACCATTGAATCAACTCCAATTTTAAAGTGGGATATTCTAACAAATTCTAATATAACAAAAAATAATGGAATTCATGTATTAGATTTTTTTCTTAATTGAAGCCAAACCTAAAAAGAGTCAATCAATGAATGAATGAATACGCTTGTGATAAATAAATGAAAGTATACTTAGTTTTGAAAGTTACGTATAAGGAAATAAATGATCAAATCCTTTTTTCCTGCTGATTTCATCTAGTTGTTCTGAGTTCTATGCCAATCAATTTATTTATGTATTTGTTTAACGTTCAAACATGAATTACCAAATGGATGTAGAAAAATGGAAAGCGAAACGTGAATTCAAACAGAAAAAAAGATTTGAACATTTTATGTGTATCCTTCGATCATCTTATGTAGGAGCAAGAGGGCCATGCACTCTTTCGAAAAGATCCACTACAACAATCATTTGTTTTTGCATATCAATATATATATATATATATATATATATACTTATTTTATATATTGCATATCAATATATATATATATGTTCTCCCAAATACCTTGTTGAAATTATACTTATAATAATTTGTTCATCCAATTTTCACATGAATATAATATAAAAAACATTATCTTTTTATTCATATTTATAGATTTTCGTTTACATATGAAAATAAAAGGAAATATTCCATCATGATAGCTTCAGAAATTATATCTAGCCTCTCATTTTTTTCATCGCTCTAGTCTTCATCCTGTATTATTTATCACCATAGAAACCATATCAATATACACACGCATGCACACAGAGAGGGAAAGAGAGATTTACTGGAAGAAGAGTGAACGGTCCCTGTAGGTGCCTGATCATGCTTGCATCGCTCGTCGATACACTGTTTGTAGCACTGTGAAGTAACTTCTAATTTGCAGTGGAATTTACATTTTAATACACATGATACACTTGGACCTCCTTCAATGGCAATGGCATGCATCAGCACCAAAACGAACACCATCATCACAATACTCCATTTGTTATCCATTTATTTTCTTAATCAATTTTTTTTTGTTTTGCTTAAAAATATAAAAGTTTATATTCAGTGGAAGATAATATAATATATATAAGCAAAATAAGCCCTCTCCATTTAGAGTACCACATCATCACTAATCTCTTTTCTTGTCAATTTAACTGAAATTATTATTTGGTTGGTTTAAAAAAGAGTCATTAGATTTTATTATTTAATTTTCGTATATATTTTTTTGATCAAAAAATAGAAAAAGAAAAATCAATCATACTTTTAAGTAAAAAACAATAAAAAATCAAAAATTACCAAATGTATTTATAGAATAATCCTTAAAATATGTCATAATATTTTTTTGAAATAATTTACTAGATGGTCAATAATATGTAAAAATCTTTTTAATTAATTTGATTGATCAAATCAAGAGAAATATAAATTAAATAATGAAACATATTTTTTAAGTCAGAGTATTTAAAACATTACAAAAGTTAAAGTTACAGAATTTATTACTAAATTAAATCTTAAAATCTTTTAATAATTTATCTTGAAATTTGGTCAATACAGTGTATTATTTCGAATTCGTTTTGTATTTGAATGAATCAAAGAAATACTTTTAAGTCAAAGTATTTGAAATCAAACAAAATTTTACCAAATATATATCTAATTAAATCTTAAGATCTTTTAATAATTTATCTTGAAATCATTATTAGTTGGTTTTAAATATGGTCGATATAATTTATTATTAAAATTTAATTTTTATTGTAATTATGCAAAATCAATCGTACTTTTAAGTCAAGGTATTTCAAAATCATACAAAAGCAAAAAAATGACAAAATTTATTCTAAATTAGTATGCTATTTATACAGAATCAAACAGAATGCAATGATTCAGAAGGAGCAAGAGGACCATGTACTCCTTCTAAAATCTAAATGATTAATTTCAACATGCAAATCATTTTTATTTGCATGTTATTCAAACTACCTTGTTGAATCATACTTACATACTTGTTCATCCCATTTTTCATACGAATATTATTTTTTCATTATTAGCATTCATCTTATAATAATTATCTTGTACATGTAGACAGAAACGAAAAGGAAAGAATGACAATTTTGGGAATCTATCTCTATCCTCTCATTCCTCCATCCCTATAGTCTTCATCCTGCATTATTAATCACCACAGAAACCATGTCAGTTTAACTATGACATACAAATTTTACAAACACACAGAAACACAACACAACAGTACACACATTCATATATAAAAAAATATTATTCTTTTTATAATTCATATTTATAGATGTTCGTTTACATATGAAATAAAAGGAAATATTCCATGATTCCATCATAATAGCTTCAGAAATTATATCTAGCCTCTCATTTCTTCCATCACTCTAGTCTTCATCCTGCATTATTTATCACCATAAAACCATGTCAATATACACACGCATGCACACACACACACATTGACATATGATATATATATATATATACATGAAAATATACAGAGAGGGAAAGAGAGATTTACTGCGAGCGTGAAGAAGAGTGAAAGGTCCCTGTAGGTGCCTGATCATGCTTGCATCGCTCGTCGATACACCGTTTGTAGCACTGTGAAGTAACTTGTAATTTGCAGTGGAATTCACATTTTAATGCACATGATACACTTGGACCTCCTTCAACGGCATGCATCGCCACCAAAACGAACACCATCATCACAACACTCCATTTGTTATCCATTTCTCTTCTTAATCAATTTTGTTTTGCTTGAAAATATATAAATATATATTCAATGGAAGCTATATATATATATAAATATATATATATATATATATAAGAAAAATAAGCCCTCTCCATTTAGAGTACCACCTCATCAATAATTAATCGCTTTTCTTGTTAACGTATCTGAAATTATTATTTGGTTGGTTTAAAAAAGAGTGATTACATTTTATTATTTAATTGTCGTATCTATTTAATTGATAAAAAAACAGAAAATAAGAAAAATAATCAATCATACTTTTAAGTAAAAAAATAATTAAAAATTAAAAATTAAAAATTAAAAATTACCAAATTTATTTATAAACTAAACCTTAAAATATGTTATAATTTATTTTGAAATAATTAACTTAGCTGGTCAATAATATTTAAATTTCTATTTAATTAATTTAATTTATCAAATCAAGAGAAATATAAATGAAAAATGAATTATACTAAGTCAAAGTATTGAAAAACCTTACAAAATTTAAAGTTACAGAATTTATTATTGAATTAAGTCTTAAAATCTTTTTATAATTTATCTTCAAATTTGGTCAATACAATGTATTATGTATTATTTCGAATTCGTTTTGTATTTGAATGAATCAAATAAATACTTTCAAGTCAAAGTATTTGAAATCAAACAATTTTTTTTTTACCAAATGTATATCTAAATTAAATCTAAAAATCTTTTAATAATTTATCTTGAAATCATTATTAGTTGGTTTTAAATATGGTCGACATAATTTATTATTAAAATTAAAATTTTATTTTAGTTATGAAAAATCAATCGTACTTTCAAGTCAAGGTATTTCAAAATCATACAAAAGCAAAAAAAAATGACCAAATTTATTCTAAATAAGTATGCTAGATGTACGGAATCAAACTGAATGCAATGATTCAGAAGGAGCAAGAGGACCATGTACTCCTTCTAAATGATTCATTTCAACATGCAAATCATTTTTATTTGCATGTCCCTCAAACTACCTTGTTGAATCATACTTGCATACTTGTTCATCCCATTTTTCATACGCATATAAAACACTTTATTTTTTCGTTATTAGCATTCATCTTGCAATAATTTTCTTGTACATGTAGACATAAACGAAACGGAAAAAATGACAATTTTGGGGAACTATCTCTATCCTCTCATTCCTCCATCCCTATAGTCTTTATCCTGCATTATTAATCACCACAGAAACCATGTCAGTTTAACTATGACATACAATTTTACAAACACACAAAAACAACACAACAGTACACACATTTATATATCTATATATATATATATAGAGAGAGAGAGAGAGAGAGAAGAGAGAGAGAGAGAGAGAGAGAGAGAGAGAGAGAGAGAGAGAGAGAGAGAGAGAGAGAGAGAGAGAGAGAGAGAGAGAGAGAGAGAGAGAGAGAGAGAGAGAGTGAGAGTGGAGGCCTATGACCTTGAATAAACTTTCTCTGGTTTTTTTTTATTGATATTATCAATCCTGTAGAAAGAAAGTCTTTTTTTTATATTTTCCCCTGCCCGCGAAGG